AGGAGGGTGAGGAAGATGATGAGGAGGAGGATGAAGGAGAATGAGGATGAGGATGAGGAAGATGAAAAGGAAGAGGAGGATGAGGAGGAAGATGAAGAACGAGAAGAAGGATGAGGAGGAGGAAGAAGAGGATGAGGAGAGGGATGAGGAAGATGAAGAGGAGGAAGAAGAGGGGGAGGAAGAAGAGGAGGAGATGAAGAAGAGGATGAGAATGAGGGAAGATGAGGAGGAGGAAGATGAGGAGGATGAGGAGGAGGAAGAAGAGGAGGAGGAAGAGGAGGAGAGGAAGATGAGGATGAGGATGAGGATGAGGGAAGATGAGGAGGAAGGGTGATGAAGGCTGACCTTGAGCAGTTTGCATTCCCGGGAGTCGGAGAAGGCCGGGAACATCTCCTCGTACCTCTGCACGGCCAGCTGGGAACAACAGCGGGAACAACAACGGGAATAACAACGGGAATAACGGGAACAACAGCAGGAATAACAACGGGAATAACAACGGGAACAACAACGGGAACAACAACGGGAACAACAATGGGAATAACAGCGGGAACAGCGGGAACAACAACGGGAACAACAACGGGAACAACAACGGGAATAACAGCGGGAACAACAACGGGAAGAACAACAGGAACAGCGGGAATAACAATGGGAACAACAACGGGAATAACAGCGGGAATAACAACGGGAATAACAACGGGAATAACAACGGGAATAACAGCGGGAATAACAATGGGAATAATGGGGAGAACAGTGGGAATAACAATGGGAATAAGAACAGGAATAACAATGGGAATAACAATGGGAATAACAATGGGAATAACAGCGGGAATAACAGCGGGAATAACGGGAACAACAACGGGAATAATGGGGAGAAGAGCGGGAATAACAACGGGAATAACAACGGGAATAACGGCGGGAATAACGGGAACAGCGGGAATAAGAACGGGAATAACAATGGAAATAACAACGGGAATAACAGTGGGAATAACAGCAGGAACAACAACGGGAAGAACGGGGAGAACAGCGGGAATAACAGCGGGAATAACAATGGGAATAACAGTGGGAATAACGGGAATAACAGCGGGAATAACGGGGAGAACAGCGGGAATAACAGTGGGAATAACAGCGGGAATAACAATGGGAATAACAGTGGGAATAACGGGAATAACAGTGGGAATAACGGGAACAGCGGGAATAACAGCGGGAATAACAGGGATAACGGGAATAACGGGAATGGGAATAATGGGAACAATGGGAATAACGGGAGTGAGGGACAGGGGGACGGGGAGAGAGCCCCGGGCCTCCTATCCCAGCCCCTTCCCATTCCCACGTTCCCATTCCCAAACCCCCATTCCCAACATTCCCAAACCCCCATTCCCACATTCCCAACATTCCCACATTCCCACATTCCCAACATTCCCAAATCCCCACGTTCCGGTACCCGGGCGTTGAGGGTGTCGACGCAGCAGTGGCAGAGCGCGGCGCGCAGGAAATGCTCCGATCCCAATTCCCCCATTCCCAATCCCCAATCCCAATCCCAAATCCCCCATTCCCAATCCCAAATCCCCATTCCCATTCCCGAATTCCCGACATTCCTGATATTCCCGACATTCCCGATGTTCCGGTACCCGTGCGTTGAGGGTGTCGACGCAGCAGTGGCAGAGCGCGGCGCGCAGGAAATGCAGGGAATGCTCCGATCCCAAATCCCCAATCCCAATCCCAAATTCCCACCCATTCCCGAATTCCCAATCCCAACATTCCCGAATTCCCGACATTCCCAAATCCCCACATTCCGGTACCCGTGCGTTGAAGGTGTCGACGCAGCAGTGGCAGAGCGCGGGGAATGCTCCGATCCCAAATCCCCCATTCCTGATCCCAAATCCCCCATTCCCGATCCCATTCCCGACATTCCCGATGTTCCCCACGTTCCGGTACCCGTGCGTTGAGGGTGTCGACGCAGCAGTGGCAGAGCGCGGCGCGCAGGAAATGCTCTTTGGCTCCGTACTTGAGCAGGGGACTGTCCATGGCCACCGCCCCGACCTGCACCGGGAACAGCGGGAATGGCACCGGGAACAGCGGGAATGGCATCGGGAACAACGGGAATGGGATCGGGAAACAACACCGGGAACAGCGGGAATGGCATCGGGAAACAACACCGGGAACAGCGGGAATGGCATCGGGAACAGCGGGAATGGCACCGGGAAACAACACCGGGAACAACGGGAATGGCATCGGGAACAACGGGAATGGCATCGGGAAACAACACCGGGACAGCGGGAACAACAGGAAACAACACTGAGACAGCGGGAATGGCACCGGGAAACAACACTGGGAACAGCGGGAATGGCATCGGGAAACAACACTGGGAACAGCGGGAATGGCATCGGGAAACAACACCGGGAACAACGGGAATGGCACCGGGAAACAACACCGGGAACAGCGGGAACAACAGGAAACAACACTGGGACAGCGGGAATGGCACCGGGAAACAACACTGGGAACAGCGGGAATGGCATCGGGAACGGCATCGGGAATGGCATCGGGAACAACACCGGGAACAGCGGGAATGGCATCGGGAACGGCATCGGGAATGGCATCGGGAATGGCATCGGGAAACAACACCGGGAACAACAGGAAACAACACCAGGAACAACGGGAAACAACACCGGGAACAGCGGGAAACAACACCGGGAACAACGGGAAACAACACCGGGAACAGCGGGAATGGGATCGGGAAACAACACTGGGAACAACGGGAAACAACAACAACACTGGGACAGCGGGAATGGCATCGGGAAACAACACCGGGACAGCGGGAATGGCATCGGGAACGGCATCGGGAACAGCGGGAAACAACACCGGGAACAACGGGAATGGCATCGGGAATGAGGGAATGGGAGGAAGAAGGAGGAGGAAGAGGAGGAAGAGGAAGATGATGAGCAGGAAGAGGGTGAGGATGAGGAAGAGGACGAGGAGGAAGAGGAAGATGAGGAAGAGGATGAGGAGGGAGATGAGGAGGATGATGAGGATGAGGATGATGAAGGCCAGACCTGACGTCGATGGAGAGGGAAGAGGAGAATGAGAACGAGGAGGAAGAGGAGAATGAGGGAGAGAATGAGGAGGAAGATGAAGATGAGGAGGATGAGGATGAGGAAGATGAGGAGGATGAGGATGATGAGGATGAGGAAGGGGATGAGGATGAGGAGGATGATGAGGATGAGGACAATGAGGAGGATGAGGATGAAGAGGATGATGAAGGCCAGATCTGCTCGTAGATGTTGATGGAGAGGGAAGAGGGGGAGGAGGAAGAGGATGAGGAAGGGGATGAGGAGGATGAGGATGAGGAGGATGAGGAGGATGAGGAGGAGGAGGACGAAGGCCAGACCTGCTCGTAGATGTCGATGGAGAGGGAAGAGGAGGAGGAGGATGAGGAAGGGGATGAGGATGAGGATGATGAGGAGGATGATGAGGATGAGGATGAGGAGGACGAGGATGAGGATGACGAAGGCCAGACCTGCTCGTAGATGTCGATGGCGCGCGGGAACTGCTCGAGCTGCGCCGCGAACGCCGCCACCTTCAGCAGGCACTTATTGGCTGAGCTGGGAACGGGAACGGAGCCTGGATCCCGGAATTCCCGGAATTCCCGGAATTCCCGAGATCCCAGAAATCCCGGAAACCCAACCGGGAACGGAGCCTGGATCCTGGAATTCCCGGAATTCCCGAGATCCCAGAGAACCCAGAGACCCCGGAGACCCCAGAGACCCAACCGGGAACGGAGCCTGGATCCCGGAGATCCCGGAATTCCCGGAATTCCCGAGATCCCAGAGATCCCGGATTCCCAGAGACCCCAGAAACCCAACCGGGAACGGAGCCTGGATCCCGGAGATCCCGGAATTCCAGAGATCCCAGAAATCCCAGAAACCCAACCGGGAACGGAGCCTGGATCCCGGAGATCCCGGAATTCCCGGAGATCCCGCAAACCCAACCGGGAACGGAGCCTGGATCCCGGAGATCCCGGAATTCCCGGAGATCCCAGAGATCCCAGAAACCCAACCGGGAACGGAGCCTGGATCCCGGAGATCCCAAAAAATCCCCAAAATCCCACCCCAAAAAAGCCAAAAAATCCCAGAAATTCCACCCAAAAAATCCCCAAAATTCCAAAAATTCCACCTCAAACCATCAAAAAAAAATCCCAAAAATCCCCCCAAAACCTCCCAGAAACCCCAAAAAACCCCAAAATCCCACCCAAAAATCACAAAAATCCCCAAAATTCCACCCAAAAAATCCCAGAAATCCCAAAAATCCCCAAAATTCCACCCAAAAAATCCCAAAAATCCCCAAAATTCCACCCAAAAAATCCCAGAAATCCCCAAAAAATCCCAGAAATTCTACTCAAAAAAATCCAAGAAATCCCAAAAATCCCAGAAATTTCACCCAAAAATTCCAGAAATTCCCAAAATCCCCTCCAAAAAATCCCAAAAATCCCAGAAATTTCACCCAAAACCTCCCAGAAATCCCAAAAATCCCAGAAATCCCAAAAATCCCAGAAATTCCCCTCAAAAAATCCCAGAAATCCCAAAAATCCCAGAAATTCCACCCCAAAATCCCAAAAATTCCAAAAATCCCCAAAATCCCCCCCAAAAAATCCCAAAAATCCCCGAAATTCCACCCAAAAAAATCCCAGAAATCCCAAAAATCCCCAAAATTCCACCCCAAAAAATCCCAGAAATCCCAAAAATCCCCAAAATTCCACCCCAAAAAAGCCAATAAATCCCAAAAATCCCAGAAATTCCACCCAAAACCTCCCAGAAACCCCAAAAATCCTGGAAATTCCCCCCAAAAAATCCCAGAAATCCCAAAAATCACAGAAATTTCACCCAAAAATCCCAAAAATTCCCAAAATCCCCCCCAAAAAATCCCAAAAATCCCACCCAAAACCTCCCAGAAATCCCAAAAATCCCAGAAATTCCACCCAAAAATCCCAAAAATTCCAATAATTCCCAAAATCCCCCCCAAAAAATCCCAAAAATCCCAGAAATTCCACCCAAAAATCCCCAAAATTCCAAAAATTCCACCTCAAACCATCAAAAAAAATCCCAAAAATCCCCCCAAAACCTCCCAGAAATCCCAAAAATCCCAGAAACTTCACCCAAAACCTCCCAGAAACCCCAAAAAAACCCAAAATTCCACCCAAAAAATCCCAGAAATCCCAAAAATCCCTGAAATTCCACCCAAAACCTCCCAGAAACCCCCAAAATCCCCAAAATTTCACCCAAAAAATCCCAAAAATCCCAGAAATTCCCCCCAAAAAATCCCCAAAATCCCCGAAATTTCACCCAAAAATCCCAAAAATTCCCAAAATCCCCCCCCAAAAAATCCCAGAAATTCCACCCAAAACCTCCCAGAAACCCCAAAAATCCCAAAAATTCCCAAAATCCACCCCAAAAAATCCCAGGAATCCCAAAAATCCCAGAAATTCCCCCCAAAAAATCCCAGAAATCCCAAAAATCCCAGAAATTCCCCCCAAAAAATCCCAGAAACCCCAAAAATCCCAGAAATTTCACCCAAAAATCCCAAAAATCCCCAAAATCCCCCCCCCAAAAATCCCAGAAATTCCCAAAATCCCCCCCAAAAAATCCCAAAAATCCCCGAAATTCCACCCAAAACCTCCCAGAAACCCCAAAAATTCCCGAAATTCCACCCCAAAAAATCCAAAAATTCCAACCAAAACCATCCCAGAAACCCCAAAAATCCTGGAAATTCCCCCCAAAAAATCCCAGAAATCCCCAAAATCCCAGAAATTCCCCCCAAAAAATCCCAGAAATCCCCAAAATCCCAGAAATTTCACCCAAAAAT